CATTGCGCGCTTCAAATGCATATCTTTTTGATTCCTATCTGTCTAACATTTGATGATAAGTATTTGGAAATGCAGGCAGCCTCTATAGTGTGTCGGAACAGACTTTAGAGAGAGACAAAACACAGAACTAAAACAAGGCCCTGAATACAAATTTTGAGAGTTTCACACTGATTTTATTATTCATATGCAAAGAAAAGAACACAACAGTTATAATAAAAATGATTAAATGAACAATTTGGTATAAAAATTTCAGACTACTGCTCCATTAGAATTTTGTTTCTAATCCGAGACAAATAGTTCAAAGCCTTGTTCGTTTTTGATTACCGTAAGCTTTCTCGGCTCGAGCTCAGTGGTTTCACGAAAGGAGATGACACACTTTTGCTCGGCGCATGCCACAGGGCGCAGTTTTTCACTCATAACCACTTTATACATTATATAAAGTTGTTTATGATAACAACAGAATAGTTGATTTTTCGAGACTTAGCTTTTGTTTTTTTTTAATACAATATACAAGTTTAGCACCACCTACCTTGATTATTTTAATATCAAATAAAAATACTCAAGCTTAAATCCCAAATTGAATATGTAATCAGAATTTGTCCGTCGTCGTCGACGAATGCACAAAAGCAGTCGTAGATAACAAACACAGATAAAAGCATCGATTCGAATATTGCTTCCTTAGGATTTAATCATAGATAGAGTGCACATCAACTTGTTGATGTGCGTCGCGCTACTCCAGGCCCACTTCGTCGGTCATTCATATTTATCAACCGGTCCATCTCGCTGTCACTTACACTTACAAACATTTCAAAATTTGATATAAAATGAAATGTCAGTTCATGCCGTAGATTTGTTTATTACATTAGATCTAGATATACCACATGGTCACAAGAGTTAATTTCCAACATAACTGTATTCACTTGTTATTGATTGGTTAATATATTATACCTGTTACCACTATATTGTTTACCATCTCTATTTACCTATATATTAAGAATTTAAATGAATCGCCGTAATAACTTTTAGAACAGTGCGTCAAATCAGATAATTTCTTTTTTGTGTTTGTTATGTCTAAAAAGGTTGGTATGAAAGTTGTTTTTGGAAATTAAGGGTCACATTTTTGTCACAGTTTCAACACTTCTAAATTTACAATAAAAATTAGTTTCTATTTTATTTCTTTTTCTGCCTTCCGTTTACGTTTTACTGAAATTTCATTAGCGCTCTTGGTAACTGCGGCGTTCACCAAATTGTGACATACTTATTCAGAAATTCTTGGCTTACACGTCTATGTGTGTTTTATCTCACGGTTGATAATGAGAAAATCCTTATCAACCTTGACTGAGCACACTGTGACGAAACAGTTATCGTGATTCATCGCGTACTCTTCCGGATGGCACTATTTTCTGATTTATCACACTGATGTAATGAAATAGCATTACAGCTCTTGCTTTCAATAGGTATATAGGTATTTTCACATTGCCATTCATATAGGTTCATACACTATTCTTAAAGTTAGAACGCGTAATCAGGACTACAATCTTGGAAAACACCGGATCAAAAGCTCAGGTAGAATCCTAATAGAGATTTAAATTCTTAAATCAGCTTTTAATTGTTTCTCGTTTTACCCTACTGGGGGTTTGTTATAAATATCTAGAGATTTGTAATGATCTATAGTCAGCGACTGAACAATCTAAAGATATCCAATGCAGGGTGGAGCTAACGAAACAATAACGACAGCCAAATGCATTAGTTCCCGGGCACATATCGTGATTTGCTTATAAAATAAAAGTTTCGTCTTCAATTTTATAAGAACTATAGTTATCACAGGTATCAAGAGCGATAGTTATCATATAACTAATGGACACTCTGACATCGACCCTGGTGTGCTCCACCTGACAGAATCATAACTTTATTAGAAGCCGAGTTTCAGTACAACTATTTTAGCCTGCGCGGGATATTTCCAGAACAGTCTTAAATCATTTACCTGCTGGATTCGACGTGGTTTTCTTTGTCACATGAATTGCCAATAAAATTGGTACAACTGACGTGAATTAACTGTGTGCGCTAACTAATTCCATTACAATTTTAAAGTTTGCAAGAAATACCGTCTGTAAGATTGACTTATAATGGAGAATCGTGTGCTTATTGGATAGAAGTTCGTAGTTAAATGCCACCTTTTTATTCCATATTAATAATACTTCGAAGCTGAGATTTTTTTGTAGATTTAAGGATACAATATATTTTTTAATTTTAAAAAGACGACTTTTGCCATGTAATTAACAGACAAAACTACTTGTATTACCAACTACAGGCTGCCCGTGACTTCGTTCGCTAAAAGTCTTTCCAGTTTTCGCGTTAATATAATAGCCTATGACCCTCACAGATAACTTGGTTTTCTACTGAAAAAATAATTTTGAGAATCTGTTTCAAAATTTTAAGAGATAACTACACTAACCCCCAACACTGTCACAATCTTTACATCTTTAAAATATCAGTATATTTTATCGTTATTAGAAGATATTTTATTCTGCTTATTAAAATAAGTCGTGACAAAAGCATAGTCGGTGTTATTTCTTTGTTTTTATTATATCATTAGTAATGTAATGTCGGTGAGTGAGCAGTGATTCGTGGTGCAATAATAACTATTATCACCTAATGGGAGCCGTTGTCATTATGACAGATCTCTGAACTGTAGGGATGCCACAAAACAGCAGTTTTCTATTATCATTATTTTTAAAGCTAGGTCAAATCACTCTACCCCACCTGATGTTAAGTGGTGATAAAGTCCAAACGCGAAGATAGCTGGTACAGCAGTTATACACTGCCACACCAACCATCCTCACCTTGCCGGCCCGCCATAATGCTTCTTCACGCCTCTCATAAAGGACCCCAGATTATAGGAAGGAGGGAACACGTGCGCGGGCAACGAATAAGACAAATAAATCATAAATAAAATTTTATTTCTTAGGGTTCCGGGTCCAAAGGATAGAAGGAACTCTGTTGCTGTCACTCTATCGTACGCTGTCTGTCCGTATGTCGGGTCTCTAGATCATAAACGGAATAATGAGTTACGGAACGGAAATTTTGGGTATTTCATGTAGAATGCTTGCCCAAAAGCCGAATATTTAGTTTAAAATTCAATTATGTTATTATTCTTGGGCGGTCCCATACAAGAAAAGATTACGAAATTATTTGGTTTTCTCTTTTACCTTGCACGTGACACATTGTTTAGACGTCGTAAAGTAGGATATTACTATATTTTTTATTATTTTCAATAATAAAGAAATGGGGGCCGTCAAAGTTGTCAGTTTAGGGGCATTTTTGTTACGGGGTTTATCTCAAAATCGAAACAAGTTAAGAATTTGCAATTTTGGGTTATAATGTCCTTTATGCTTTATTTAAACAATAAATACTGAACACTCCGTTTCATAATTTACTGTTTAATTTGTGACGAAAACAATCTAACGATTTTACTGAAGGCCAGACACGCGCTTGGTCTGCATTTTAATAGAACTTATGTGTGCCGGATAGCGCACCTTTTATATCACTATGTTTTGTCTGTGAGTTTTTGATACTTTTTTTATTGAGATTGTTATTCTTTGACACTAAATAGATTGCTTTACCTTGTCACTGCCACCACTGTTTTCTTTTCTCTTATAATAATTAAAAATACAATCCATATCCTCCACATTATGTATTAGGAAACTAAATTTTTCCTAAAACATCCATATCTTAACAGCGCAACATTATTTTATGAATACATTGAATCTAATCAAATCAATAATATTCATTTGGCATTCCATAAATACAGATAAGTTTCTCGTAGTGGTGACATTATTATTAGTGGAAATAAGCTGAGATGAATTACTGAGAAAATACCAAAATACATAGAAATACTAAGAACTTCATTTCTTATTAATACCTATACACAATATAAAAGTTCTTTAGTTACACCCACTGCTTTACCGGTGCCAGAGTTAATAATATATCACCATGGTAGTAATTTTCAAACATTCATAAGAAACATCAGAAATTCTACACAGAAACTTACAGGACTATAATATGCTTAATAATAAATATTTATTGCAGATAGATATTACTCATACTGAAAAAGAAATGATGTGGTTTTATGAAAACACGTTGAAAGTGTAACTTTTAAAATCATTTATAAAAGAAAGTCCTCAACCAGCAATCGAACCCGTGCCACTGGCGTAGCAGGCGATTTCAACCTCTGCCACTGACTCACCGATGCTAATAGATATTGACTGATTTTTTTTAATACAATTAAAAATGTAATGCAACCTGCAAAAGATGAATACAAAAGATTCACTTTAAAACACGTAATGATGAATTAGGTAGTATACAATCAAACACAAAAAAACTGACACAATCAAGCATTTAATTTAATATTCATCTTTGTGTACAGCTGTAATTTAAAAAAAAATGATTTATATAGTGCGTCAACCCTGGAAAGATTGTCTGAAGAGGCCACCGTGCTTCGAGAGCAATATGACAATGATGAATGGCCGCCACGCCGTCCAATAATCTGATACAATGTCATTTTTGCAACTGCATTTATTGACCTCACCCTATGTCTTTGGTCACAGATACGTACTATTTAATAAACTACCAGAAAGAATTAGTTCTAAAAACCTCCTAAAAGTTATTTATTGTGCCACAAATATTTCCAAATTAACTCAAGTATGACATTTAAGCATTTGATCTCCCACCTGTTATTCTGCTGTCATTGTTATTCTTCCTTCTAGTTCTATTTTATTAGGATGCTCTCATTTTCCTTCACCAATCGTTTTATTTAACACCTTCTATTCTCTATTACGGCAACGGAACTTTATTGCTTTTACTTTATGATTATCGCGTTACTTGACAAAATTCTCTTTGGAACATATGGGGCGCACGGGAGTGCAGGTGCTGTGTGGCGTTATTACCCTTTGAATGTGAGGAGCGTGGGGACTGCTTTGTAACTCGCTGACCCTGTGCAGCTGTGTAGGTAGCCGGCGAAATAGAAGAGTCACCAAAAAGAAGGAATAGATGCGATCCATCCCCGAGTAACATGGCATCGCTGATACAAGCGCTGGTGTGTCTGCTGCTAGTGGGCGCCCCTGTCCGCGCCCAATACGACACCGTGAGCCGTAAGTATTGACTCCGTCACCGTTAGATCTTTGTGTCTGATATTACAGGGAATATATGTAATAGGAAATGTCGCTGTCAAAAAATGTCGCCGGTTTTAGATTGCCGAAGTCTCGATGGACTGCCCTCTCGATTAAGTTAACAGAAACAGAGAAGAAGGAATTGACTGGCCCACGCAACCAGTAATTAAGCATTATTCTCGCTTGATTACTGTATCAAAATTGAAACGTGTACGTAACTTGTATATAAATAAAAAGATACGAAGAAAAATTTCTGACCTTGTCAGGTAAATTGTATTCTGATACTTGAAAATTTTCATTATGTACTTTTTTCCATTTCAAATCGTTCCTGTAGCCTAAGAAATACAATGAGAAATTAGATAGGGTCATTGTAGGCCCAGTAGAAAAGATGATCGGCATTGGCTCGCATAGCCCGGTTGTTGCTTCGATTCCAGACTGGTGCCTGGAAGTTTCTAAGTGCCTACCAACAGCAAGTTTTAAGAACGCGTGGTGCTGTTTCCGCTCCAATTCAACGAGTAACAAAATTGGATTGTTTATCAGATAGTTTGATAACTTTGAGAACGGCTGGACCTCAAACTTCTTTACTGGTTTTGTATGTGCGGTGCTCCTCAGTCCGGAAACCAGTGTGGCACTCTCTCGACGCTACCGACACACGAGAATAGATAGATACCATTCAATAGACGTTTAAAACGTTTGTATTTTATGGCCATACTTCTGAGACGTCAAATAACTGTTCAGTTAAATTAAAGCCTGCTGTCACTTTGTTAGCTATAACAATAGATTAAGACTACACATCGCATTGATTTGATGAAATATTTTTTTGACGTCTCAAGTTCAAAGTTTCATATTTATGATGAAAGTGAGAAAGAAAATTTATTATTTATTTAGTACCATGACCAATTTGACAAACTTTAATACAGAATATGGTTTGATACACAAGCATTTACATGGTGCTCAAATGGTATCTCAACATAATATCGGAGCACCTCAACGATGCTTCGACGTTGCTTTTACGCAGATACCTACTAATATTAAGTGAAGGTACCGCTACGCGCAAAAAAAAGATTTATTCAAAAACTTATAAGTGTGGACAATATATAATGGGCAACAATAATCTATAATGGAGTGGAACGGAACGCAATACACAAAATGGAAGCTCTGGGACATATACATGCATATATCGATACAAACACCATATAGTTATATTACACACGAATGATAAATACATCTCAATCAAGAAATATGAACACATACAGCTTCTTTTTGCATATTAAGTAAATAGTCAAGTACAAAGTGTCTGATTATATATATTACAGACAAAAATGCTTGGGTTTGAACTGTTCCAATCATTCCAACAGGTTTTCTATATTAAATAAATCATAATTGTATTGACGTTGTAACAACATAATGATTTGTAAATTTTGTTACATTAGACTTTTAATGTTGTGGAGTCTTTTTCGCTTGTTTTTCTCCGCAGCTAAAGAATATGTCCGTAACGAGTGGTAGGGAAAAAAAATTTGGACGATTCAAAAGAGTTGTACTATACATCCAATTTGAATAAAGATATTATATTGATTTCTGATTTCTGAGTCCTTATAATAAAATTTTAAGATACAATACAAGTGATATAATGAAATATAGATAATCTTAAATTTTCTTTGGACTGTAACAAACAAATGACATTGTCTATATTGGTTATTGATGGTTGATCATACTATTCTTTAACGATGACCAAACTACTGGATTATATAGTTCATATAGATTAAACTGTTAAACACGGTTTATTAAATCATAAAAATACAAGTATTTGGGCCATGGCTGATTCGATAAATAAAGACGTTGGGCCCCAGTGCCCCGGTTTACGGAACATCTGGTTGTGCTAAATGTCGACCGGGGAGAATTTGATATTCTGCGCCTGAGCAGGTCTTACGACACGGATCGGGCGCAACTCGGCTGAGTGTCGCGTCCAGGGGTAACACATTACTACTTACTTTAGATTTGACTGCGATATTGCTGCATTGGTAGTTACGACCAATCGAAATATATTCATCGATTGAGATTAGGCGTGACTTGAGTCATCTCTACGACCATCTTATCGTTGCCGTATGATGGTCATTAAGAATCAAAATACGAGAAACTACAATTGTTTTAATAAACAAAACTAGTTTTTACGGGTTAATGCACGAAACTTTATTTATTTATTGACGTTTCGCAGCCTTTTCAGGCCTGCATCGTCAGAATAATGATTTTTTATTTAAAATTGTCGAGCTACCTTCGAAAGACTTATATTGAGCGTTCGGTTATTTCATTGGAAGATTTTTAAAATTTTATTGTCTATGTATGAATTTATTATTTAATTTACTTAATAAAGTATTTTATTTAAAATTCATTTTTGTAATTTTGAGTTTATTTATTTGACCCTAACTACCAATGAAACGTCGATAAATAAATAAAGTTTCGTGCCTTAACCCGTAAAAACTAGTTTTATTTAATGAGTGATGTGCGTGAAAACCTAAGAAACAAATATTGTTTTAATAAGTTAGGAAATCCTTATAGCTACTGAAAATGTTATAAATGACTCTTTAAATAAAGTATAAAAGTGATTTGATGGCAATAATCTCTCCTTTAATTCCCAAATAAATGTTTGAGGTTAAGTCCGATGTATATTAAAATAGATGGTAAAGTGCTAGAACCTGTATTTAATACTGCATTCTTGGGAATTAAACTAGATTGTGAGTTGCAGAGGGGTCCTCATATTGAATAACTCGCTAAAAAGGTAAGCTCAGCTGCATATTATGCAGTTAAAAGCATTAGAAAATAAACAGACGAAGCTCACTGCAAGACTGGTTTACATCGGCTATTTTCATAGCATAATAGCATATGGTGTCGTACTACGAGGATTAGCAGCGGACAATTATAAGATATTTCTTTATTATCTTCTATACTTATAATAAATCTGTAGAGATGTCAATTCTGTACATGAAATATATTTTTAAAATAACTATCAGGGGGTGATTAGTGATCGATACTGATGGCAAAAATGCAATCAGTAAAATTTTTGTCTGTCTGTCTGTCTGTGTGTATGTTCCTTATAGAAACAGAAACTACTCGACGGATTTTAATGAAACTTGGTGCAATTATTCTTCATACTCTTGGGCAGGTTATAGTATACTTTTCATCACGCTACAATCAATAGCAGCAGAGTAGTGAAGGGAAATGTTGGGAAAACGGGAGAAGTTACTCCATTTTTTAAGCTTCCGTCGCGTGTGCAGCCTTAATGGTTAAAGTTACATAGAAATCATGTATGACGGAAATATTCTACATAAAATTGTCTAAAAAAAATGGTTGCCTGTAAAGTCGGTTTTACGGGCGAAGATTTTACGTGACAACGTCTTTTTCTCGGTAGAATATTTATTGATATGAATATAATTAAATTGCACAATAGGAACAAGGAATTGAATGAAAATAAGAATTGCACAAATTTTAACTATAGAAATATATTTTGTTTACTAAAACATTGTACATGTAAACTTAAACTTAACACGAGAGACTCATCGTAACGTTACCGAGCGTTACACTTTTTCATAAGTGACTCCCAGCCGCAACCTAATTTAAGACGTTGTCACGTCAAAATATACCGCAACAGCATATGTCTATATTTTATGGTTGACTCACAATAACACGTGTAATTATATAAATAAAGTCATTGTTTATAGCACAAGCCTGAGAACAAAAACTATAGTTTAGGTACACTACAGCTCTACACCGAAGCGAAGCGAGGGCGGGCCACTAGTTTATAAATATAACAACGTTACCTTCCTTCCGTCTATTTCAGTTTTCGGTCTCCAAATTCAGCCTCAGTAAAAGCAGTTAATCTTTTCTCGACCTTCTATAACAAAATGCATGACGATGTCGTTGCATTGACAGACGTTAAGTTTAAAAACTGTAATAAAGAAGTACTCATTAGTAAAGCTTATTACAAAATTGTAGAATATATCACATACAAAAGTAGCTGGAATTATTTTAACCCTGCGCTAGCAATCCACTGATTGTCAAATAATATAGATACCTTTAATCGTATCATCATCAGCCTATTAACGTCCCCACTGCTGGGGCACAGGCCTTCCCTATGGATGGAATAGAGAGATTGGGCCATGACCCACCACGCGGGCCCAGTGCGGGTTGGTGGGTGCTAACTAACGACTGCAGATGCAGCCGGGACCAACGGCTTAACGTGCCTTCCGAAGCACGGAGGAGCTCGAGGTAGTAAATTATTGGTCACCCATCCAATGACCGACCACTGCGAAAGTTGCTTAACTTCAACGATCGCAGCCGAACGCGCTAACCACTTGCGCCATCGAGCTCCTTTAATCATATACACTGTTAACTATAATCGTTTTAAAATTATATTTTTGTTTGAAGAAGACGTTATTAAATTCTTGAAAAGCCTTATGTTGAATAAATAATTTTGGCTGCTTTAGTTTATCCGTTGTCGTAAGACATTAAAACATTTCAATATAATACATAATTTTGTTAACTGTAGTGATAACTATTCGATCGTCTATACGCATCAAACAGTTATAGGTTACCTGTGACTGTAACTGTAAGTTCCATATACAAAATTTCATTCCCATTTATATAGCTAATTCAATATAACGAAAGAAAGAACTTAATAGTTTTCATTATATAAAGTAATCGGTGATAAATGTGTGATTCAATCTATACTTATAATAAATCTGTAGAGAGGTCAATTCTGTACATGAAATATATTTTCGAAATAACTATCAGGGGGTGATTAGTGATCGATACTGATGCCAAAAATGCAATCAGTAAAATTTTTATCTGTCTGTCTGTCTGTGTGTATGTTCCTTATAGAAACTAAAACTACTCGACGGATTTTAACCAAACTTGGTACAATTATTCTTCATACTCCTGGGCAGGTTATAGTATACTTTTCATCACGCTACAATCAATAGCAGCAG